TTTATCATTATAATTAGTTTATATCTCGAGGTTTAAGTGACTTAAAATGGAACTATATCAAGTTGCTCATGCGAATGTTAAAGTTTATTTTTTATGCAAATATACAAAACAATATACAAAACATATTTCCACAAGTTTAAGTTATTTTTAAATAAAAATTTAACATATTTTTATAAAATTCAAATTAGAAAACAATTAAAATTAAAGTGACCATCTCTTAGTTTTATATAAATTCAAAAAAATTTATTTTTCTTCCGAAGAAAATCTTAAAACTTATTATCTATTTCTCATTATCATGAAATTGAAATACAATTGTATTTCAAATTTCACGTGATCATTAACATCATCATCGTCGTCAGCAGTATCATTCATTATCATCATAATGTTTTGAACATTTTTTTGTTTCTCATTTCGCATTTCAATTAAATGAAGTGTGAAATTGTTATTAATGGCAGTGGAAATGTAAATATTTTTACAATTGTTCAGATAACTTTTCACATTTTGAACATAATTTGAAAAGCAAACAATTTTAAGCGAAAATTATAAAAATAAAATGTGAAAACAATAAAATAACAAAATTCAAACTTGATTAAATAACGATAAATAAACTATAAATGATTTAAAATTTTAAAAGGCAAAAAAAAGATGAATATTAGCAATAAATATATGCTTGCGAGATTTAATATTTTAAATGCTAATCAAGTATAATATTTTAAATAAATATCCTAAATATCAAATCGTGTAGCTAAAATCCAAAATAGATTTTAATTTTTCCATTCAAAATTTAGTTCACTACTCGCACACTTACGGTCAACAACACGAAACGGATTTTCGTACATTAATGTCACCGGCCGGAAACGCGTAAACGTTTTTCTCTTAAAGGATATTCCAAAACAAGAATCCTTTTTCTACTTTTAAGAAATAAAACTTAAAAGATTTTGAATTTTATTTTAATCGGCTGCTTAGCATTTTTCTATATTATAACACGTTATCTATTGGATTTTGAAACCCATAACTCTGACAATATGCACAAACCTCTGACAGATGTTCAGGTGCTTCGCGAAGCCGATGAAGATAATTATGATACTAAGGATGATCAGAGTTTTCTTACCAATCATATGAAACGCCAATATATGCGTGGAATTTCAACAACTACCTCACAAGCTGGTGGCGGCGGAGTTTATTATGAAGCTTTAAAGGGTTCCAGTGGTTCGCTGGTGAAAGGGTGGGTTATGTTATATAATTTATCTTTTCTACTGAAATAATTCAAAATAACAAGTGTATGTTTGTTCTCACGAGAAATTAAATAAAATAATAACTACAAAAGCATAAAAGTAAAGTGAAACTAAAAATTTTTAAAATATTGCTAAAAAAGTATATTTGATCGAAATAGAAAAAACTTCAAAATTTGTGACCGACCCGTCGGAATTGACAATTGTACTTCGCGGATTATTTCTATATTTAATCAGATATTTTTGCAAAATACGGATCGCTTATATTTAAAGAGAATTATGAAGAGTTAAAGATGTGTTTCTTACTGTAGATCATTGTATAAAATGGTGAAATATCCATCACTTACATACACAGAGGGAAAAGGAAATATACACGCCTGGTACCAAATTGACACCAAAGAGTTTATAATTCGTCAATAACATCCGTTATCAAAGTATAAACAACGCAACGTTGTCAACATTGCAACAATTCGTTGTCGAAATCTACATTTTATACACATCCGTTGTCTAAATGTTAACAAACGTGGTAAGTTCACTATTGGCAACTGATTGTTTGTCGTACGTATGTTTATACTTTTACATCGGATGGTATTGAAAAATTATTAACAGTTTGGTGACAATTTAGTACCAGGCGTGTATATTTCTTTTTCCCTCTGTGAATATGCAAATTATATTGAAATAGTGATTGACTATTTTTTATATTAGAAGTAAAATAATCAAATTGAAAAGAAACGCAAGAAGTAGAAAAATTTTCGTGAGCTGAAGTACTAAACTTCTACTTTATGCAAAAGTTCTCTCCGCTACTTCATCTTCTATATTCTCTATATAGCTTGTATATATTCTCTATATAGCTTGTAAAGAATGCACCATTTCCATACGGCGGCTTATCTTCGTTGAAAAGTCCCATTGATCATTGATATTGGTTCCGAGATATTTAAAACTATTTACCCTGTCGCTGTATACGTTTTCTTTTGCATTTTAACATGGTGGTTACATTGGAAGCAAGTACTTACCACGCTCGCTTACAAATCACTATTTAATTAAGTACTCACAAGAAGTTGTTTTACTTTAAAAACAACAAAAAAATCGCTCAAACACAATACGAACCTGGGCTTCTTGTTCGTTAGATTGCTGTCTTACACACAACACCACTGTTTACCCAGCAATTCGGTCGGATAGTTCCGAACTTCCTATTTAACTTACCACTTAGGGTTACGCCTAGCCACCGACTGCACGGGTGACTAGTTATTTTAACAAGTGATTGTATTAGGAGGAAGTCATTCGTCACCCCATAGAACAGGAACTGGCGAAGGGGACAGTAAAGTAACGATTATCTTCACCCTCCTTTACAAAGAGTACATCCATGACGAAAAACGATCTAGATCCAAACAGGTGGTTAGACGTCAGTGGAAATCACTGTCTTTTTCGGATGCATTGACTCTGTCGAACTGATGGGTAGTTTTCTTAATTGTGCGCCAATAAGAAAAACAATGTAACACAGACGTTATGCAGTAGTCATTGAAATGTAAGTGGTTATATAAGTACAAGTCATTACCGAGTTTTGGCAGGGATATTTATGATATGTTGCAAATTTGTACGTCAGGTATTGAAGGTTGGACAAGCTATACGACATGTTCTTCTTTGGAATATATATTAAATAAAAAATGGGGATAGAGTGTACCATTGCCTGACACCTCTGGATATCTCAATACTCAATTTGTTAGGTCCCCAATGATCTCAACTTTTACTGTTTGATGCTATACGAGGCAGAGAAATCTTTTGAGTGCAAGTTATCCTTAAAATTATATACCGATAATGTTAGTTTCTGTATTCTAGTTCTCATTAGGATGAGAAGCTTTCAGATTTGTATTCAGCACATCTAAATCGTGTTTAAGGGATATATATCGTAAATAAATCACAAAAATATGTCGATACAAAGATAAAAACTGACTTTAACGGATATTTGTTTATAAAATCAACTGTTTTCTCAATGAACGTGCATTGCTCTCTTGCTTTCAAGCATGTAAGCAAATACATGTCTAAACAAGTAAGAAATTATAGTCGGGCGTGGCCGACCATATGATACCCTACTCCAGTTATGAATATTAAATGTGATTTATTTTTCATAATAAAGCATTTATCTTCAATATTCCCTTGTTCCGATACATTTAAGCAATTTATGGATGAAAAACTAATTTTCTGAAAGAGGCTTTATATGGGGGCTAGGGGCAAATATGGACCAAGCCCGATAAAATTTTGTGAATATATTTATATTGACATAATATTTTATTGTGCTGAATTTCATCGCGATATTTGTGTTTATAAGCTAATTTGGGACATTCAAGTAATTTTCTGAAGGGGACTTTGTATGAGAGCTAGGGTCAAATGTGGCCCGATCTTTATGAAATTTGGCAGGGTCATCAAGACTTCTATAAAACTTAGTTGTGCCGTATTTTATCGATATATCTGTATATTTAACATAATTATGAGCTCAGAAGCCCTTTTCGGGGGGTTCTGTTGTATGGGGGCTAGGTGAAATAATGGACCGATTTTAACCATTTTCAATAGGCTTCGTCCTTAGGTCAAATAAAACGTGCGTGCCAAATTTCATCCAATTATCTTGAAAATTGCGACCTGTACCTTGCGCACAAGGTTTACATGGACAGCTAGCCAGCCAGCCAGCCAGACGGACGGACGGACATAGCTTAATCGACTCAGAAAACGATTCTAAGCCGATTGGTATACTTTAAGGTGGGTCTAGGACGAATATTTTTGTATGTTACAAACATCAGCACAAATCCAATATACCCTCCCCACTAAAGTGGTGTAGGGTATAAAAACAAATAAAACTGAATAGAGAGCTTATTTGTCACTCTCTGCCTTTGACTGATCTTTATCTAAAGAATACGTACGCAATGAGCTCACAAATGAGAGAAAAAAGACTTTTTTACGCGTACATGTAAAAAGACAAACAAAATCAGAGAACTTATTTTTAACTCTCTGCCGATATACGATCTGCCTATCTTTTTAGAGCAATGTTGTAACTAGACCACTGAAAGGCAGAGTGTAAAAAATTAGATCTCTGACAGGTTTTGTTTTTTTATACATGTGTGAGCATACGTACATGTGCAATAATGAGAGCTCACTGTGTTTCGCAGTACTAGACCTTGCCATACTAGTTGTTGATCTTCTTTTTCAAGCAATTTTTAAACGTACGTTAACGTTCAAAAATTGCTTGAAAAGAAGTAAAGTCCAGCAAAGAATAGTTTCTAGTAACATTGAATTTACTTACATATGAATTATGCAACTAGGTTTTTTACATAAAATATTTCCTCATTATCACTTAAACAATGTCTTTCAATCTAATAAAAATCATAAATAATAGAACAAAACGCCCACGTAATTTAAATAAAAATTGCAAATGTAACTCAAAGAATAAAATCATAACAAAATATATTTATATGTAACTATTATACCAGTTTGTACATAATAAATATATTTATTTACACTATTCATTTAAATTAGAACGACATTCAACTTGAACTTAATGAGGTCTTATTTTTTCCACGATCAATGTCTTTCCTGCTGCAAAAAAAAAAAACATTGAGAAATAATATATAAATTGATAAAAAGAAAATTAGTATATAATTGGATATAGATTACAACTGCAACCACATTTTAAATATAGAACTATATTTTGATATTGTATAGTTTAATTATTAAATATTTTATTGTTTTATTACATCTACAACAGATTGACTTGAATGTAAGTAGAAGTGCTTAAAGTTGCTCGATTGTTTGCATTTCTAGTGGGTTTTCAGTAATTTATTCCATATAGTGTTATAATTGTGGTCTGGTAAATTAATCAACTTTTTCAAACATTGATTGTGCTAATTTGTTATGCAATATTAGGGACATTCATATTTTATTAATAAACTTGTCTTGAAACTATTAGAATATTTGTAAAACGTGCTATACTCAACCTCCATTTTAGTATCGAACTATTGTCTTATAATTCTAATCTTGTCCCATAACGAATATGTATACAATAGTCTAATTTAACTATAAAAATATTGCTAATTTCTATATTAACATTTTATTACTTGTTACTATATACGCCCACATCTCATAGCATTCAATGGCTAATGTGGTTAACTCAACACATTAAACAAGTTAAAACAAATAACAATAATAAAATATTTATTTAAAACATTCCATACAGATGTTTGTAGATTATTTAAATTGCCATTTAAATTCCATTTTAAGTGCAATTTTAATGCAAAACTACAACACGTTTAGTTTGTCTAATAAAAATGAATTGCAAATCTGTGATCTCTACGACCAAATTAAGTGCATTTAACACTTGTCAATTGGTGTTTGTAAACGGCACCCCAAATTATAATTAAAATAGACACGTTTCTTTATACATTCGTACATAGTTTTGCTAAAGTATGTACATTTTTCTATTATTATAATTTCTTAATTAATTGATATTGCCATGCAGTCACTTTGTTAAGGCAGTCATACAGACAGTCTAGCAAATATTCAGTTTTTGAAAGCAGTCATCCCATCCCCAGCTAGTTTGCTAGTTGTGTGTTGGGTTAATTCATTAGTTACAATTATTCACGATTAAGCGATTCGAAAAACTTGATACTCGTTAGACGGATTATATACTAGACTGTAGATTATATTATGGACTAGACTATAGACTAGACTAGACTATAGATTAGACTATAGACTAGACTATAAACTAAACTATATACTAGGTTATAGACTGGAATATAGACTAGACTATAGACTAGACTACAGACTAGGTTATAGACTGGAATATAGACTAGACTATAGACTAGACTATAGACTAGACTATAGACTAGACTACAGATTAGACTATAGACTAGACTATATACTAGACTATAGACTAGACTACAGAGTGGATTATAGACTGGAATATAGACTAGACTATAGACTAGACTATATACTACACTACAGACTAGACTATAGACTAGACTGTAGACTAGACTATAGACTAGACTATAGACTAGACTATAGACTAGACTTTAGACTAGACTATAGACTAGACTATAGACTAGACTATAGACTAGACTATAGACTAGACTATAGAATAGACTATAGACTAGACTATAGACTAGACTAGACTATAGACTGGACTATGCTATAGACTAGACTATAGACTAGACTATAGACTAGACTATAGACTAGACTATAGACTAGACTATAGACTAGACTAGACTATAGACTAGACTATAGACTAGACTATAGACTAGACTATAGACTAGACTATAGACTAGACTATAGACTAGACTATAGACTAGACTATAGACTAGACTATAGACTAGACTATAGACTAGACTATAGACTAGACTATAGACTAGACTATAGACTAGACTATAGACTAGACTATAGACTAGACTATAGACTAGACTATAGACTAGACTATAGACTAGACTATAGACTAGACTATAGACTAGACTATAGACTAGACTATAGACTAGACTATAGACTAGACTATAGACTAGACTATAGACTAGACTATAGACTAGACTATAGACTAGACTATAGACTAGACTATAGACTAGACTATAGACTAGACTATAGACTAGACTATAGACTAGACTATAGACTAGACTATAGACTAGACTATAGACTAGACTATAGACTAGACTATAGACTAGACTATAGACTAGACTATGACTAGACTATAGACTAGACTATAGACTAGACTATAGACTAGACTATAGACTAGACTATAGACTAGACTATAGACTAGACTATAGACTAGACTATAGACTAGACATAGACTAGACTATAGACTAGACTATAGACTAGACTATAGACTAGACTACAGACTAGACTATAGACTAGACTATAGACTAGACTATAGACTAGACTATAGACTAGACTATAGACTATAGTTAAATAGCTAAAGACATTAATGAAATTATTTAAATTAATTAATACAATTTGCCATCAAATTCAAGAAGTGTCATTAAAAAATATATATATACGACAACGAGAGCAAAGGCAGGCTTGTATGAATGAGCGTGTCAATATTCAGCATTAGACACTTGAGACCAAAGTAACGCAGAAGCATCTAGTCTATAGTTTAGTCTATAGTCTAGTCTATAGTCTAGTCTATAGTCTAGTCTATAGTCCTAGTCTATAGTCTAGTCTATAGTCTAGTATAGTCTAGTCTATAGTCTAGTCTATAGTCTAGTCTATAGTCTAGCTATAGTCTAGTCTATAGTCTAGTCCATAGTCTAGTCTATAGTCTAGTCTATAGTCTGTCTAGTCTAGTCTATAGTCTAGTCTATAATATAGCCTATAGTCTAGTCTATAGTCTAGTCTATAGTCTAGTCTATAGTCTAGTCTATAGTCTAGTCTATAGTCTAGTCCTATAGTCTAGTCTATAGTCTAGTCTATAGTCTAGTCTATAGTCTAGTCTATAGTCTAGTCTATAGTCTAGTCTATAGTCTAGTCTATAGTCTAGTCTATAGTCTATCTATAGTCTAGCTATATAGTCTAGTCTATAGTCTAGTCTATAGTCTAGTCTATAGGCCTAGTACTATAGTACTAGACTATAGACTAGACTATAGACTAGACTATAGACTAGACTATAGACTAGACTATAGACTAGACTATAGCTAGACTATAGACTAGACTATAGACTAGACTATAGACTAGACTATAGACTAGACTATAGACTAGACTATAGACTAGACTATAGACTAGACTATAGACTAGACTATAGACTAGACTATAGACTAGACTATAGACTAGACTATAGACTAGACTATAGACTAGACTATAGACTAGACTATAGACTAGACTATAGGCTATATTATAGACTAGACTATAGACTAGACTAGACTAGACTATAGACTAGACTATAGACTAGACTATGGACTAGACTATAGACTAGACTATAGACTAGACTATAGACTAGACTATAGACTAGACTATAGACTAGACTATAGACTAGACTATAGACTAGACTATAGACTAGACTATAGACTAGACTATAGACTAGACTATAGACTAAACTATAGACTAGATGCTTCTGCGTTACTTTGGTCTCAAGTGTCTAATGCTGAATATTGACACGCTCATTCATACAAGCCTGCCTTTGCTCTCGTTGTCGTATATATATATTTTTAATGACACTTCTTGAATTTTGATGGCAAATTGTATTAATTAATTTAAAATTAATTTCATTAATGTCTTTAGCTATTTAAAATAAAGTGTTTACATATACAAAATGCCGCCTTTCGTGTGAGGCTCTTTGTTTTCTTAATAAAACTATTTGGTGTGCGCTTATAAGACAATTAGTTTGCTGTGTTTTTTTGTTTGGACAGTGAAAAAATTAATTTTTATTAAAAATATTTTTAGAGAGTTTTGTTGTATGGGAAAATTATAATAAAATTTAATAAATATGTACATTTAGAAGACTAGTTGAAAGTTTCATAATTTTAAGTATAGAATTTAAATTTTGGAAATAATTTTTTAAATCTATCAGTAATACATACATACATATGTATATATATGTTTGAAGTGATAGATAAATAGGTATTAGTTTTTAACTAATCTTGACATCATATAAGAAAATAGATTGTATGTGATAGAAGAGTCTTATATTGAAAATGAATTCCTAAAAATGTCAACCGATGAACAATTGGGAATTCGATGGAAGCCAAAAATCATATTTATTGAATGAAATCTCCAACTAAATATCCCAAAACAACAGTTTAGACTGATATTGCTGGTCTTATTTTGATAGGTTTATCACCTATTTCCGAAGTATTCGTTTAAGCATAAAAGAGAATTATCGTCCAACCTCCAGCTTAAACTGCGATCACTCAAAGGATAGTATTTGCAAGTAAGACTTCACTTGTTTATAATTCTGCTGCCTTTCAAGCAGTAAAGTGCCATGACCAAAACTGTCATGTTCTAACGGGACCGGCTTTCTCATTTAGCGTAAATGTACCTCTTTAACATAAAAGTTACTTATACGTTTTCGATTTTTTCCACATAAAGCATTTATGTTGAATCTTTCCTTAATTTCGATATAGTTTTGATGAAAAAATTATTTTCCGATAGAGGCTATATATGGGGGCTAGGGTCAATTATGGACCGATCGGAATTAAGGCGAATTTTTTTAAAATACAAGTGTTTATAAGGGAATTGACGACGTTCAAGCATTTTCAGAGGGGGACTTTGCAAGGGGGCTAGGGTTAAATAAAGGACGCTCATTACCAAATTTTGCAGTATCATTTATGCTTGTATAAAACGTACTTATGCCTATTTTTGTAGGGGTATTAGGATAATTGGCATAATCATGAGCTCCAAATTTAGGGAGTCCGGTTATATGGGGGCTAGGTGAAATAATGCGCCGATATCAACCAAAATCGATAGGGTTCGTCCTTGGGTCAAAAGTAATGCGTGTACCAAATTTCATCTAATTATATTTAAAATTGCGACCTGTAGTTTGATTACAAGGTTTACATGGACAGGTAGACAGACGGACAGACAGACGGACGGACATTGAAAATGATTCTGAGCCGATTGGTATACTTAAAGGTGGGTATATGACCATTAATTCTATGCGTTATAAACATCAGCACAAATCCCATATACCCTTCCCACTAAAGTGGTGTAGGGTATAATAAAAGACAAGATTGCTTTAAATAGAGGAATTTATACCGTCTGACTTTTTAAAAATCTCTTGTAGGAATACCTCTCAATCAGAGATTTATATCATCAAAACAAAATGATCTGTCGTGGGAGTTACTCATTATGTGAATCGTTCATATTTTGCCTAATTTTAATGATGGACCCAAATTCGAATTGAATAAATAATAAAGTCTAGACGTGCTGTCATCTGCCAAAAAAATATAGATATTGAAGATTGACCTTGTGCCTCAACAGTAACTAATTAATGTCTAGAGTTTTGGTTTTTTGACCTTGGCAAACTTTGTATTATAACATGTATTATTAACTGTTCCTATATTTATATTCCTCACTATAATTGCACATACTATATGAATGATACTGCATCTTGTACTTGACTCGACTGACATTATTAGTCTGATGGAAAAAACTGCAAAAATAAAGTATAAAAGTGATAAATTTGCAAAGAGAATGACATTCATAAATTTAGTACAATGTTAATTAGTGTTGATTGTTGTTGAGGAAAAAAGCAAATAAAATTTTTTTTAATTTATAAACAAGCTGTATAATAATTAAAGAAAAACATTTACGTTTGTAGGAGGTTTAAAATAGATGTTAATTGTAAATTTTATAATAATTGTTTAATATTAGAAAAGATGTTGTAGTTATAAAATGGAATGGAAATACATGTGTTTTTATGTAAAATAGTTTTATAAACATTATATCGAATGTTAGAATAAATAATTACGGAAATATCGATAAGGATTTATAAAGATGTCTGTGATCTAATTCCATTTTGAAACAAAATTCAAAATCTTGTAAAACGATCAGTTAATGTAACGTTTCCGTAATTCAAATATTAATTTATATCTTAAACACCCTGTTCAATTAAATTCCACACAGTTACTGATCATGTAAAAGCATTCTTTGTAAAGCATACTTTAAGGCATTAATTAAAATTTGTATTCTTTTCTTTTACAGATCACGCAACTACCGTCCGGGTAGTATGCGCAAAGTTCGAAGACGAGCTGTATTCAAAAATGGCGACTGTAATGTGCTACAGAAAAACCTCACCAAAAGACGTTTACGTTTTCTACAGGATATGTACACCACCCTGGTAGACTCACAATGGCGATGGACTTTATTGGCATTTGCTTTGTCATTCATATTGTCATGGTTGTTATTTGCTGTTCTCTGGTGGCTGATCATGTATACACATGGAGATTTGGAAGAGTTACATTTGCCAGCCAATCAGGGTTAGTGTGTTCTTTGGAATGATTAATCCCTTATTTAACTCTCTTTATTTTCCTAAACAGAGGAAAGTGGCTGGGAACCTTGCGTCTCTGCTATACACGGTTTCACTTCCTGTTTCCTGTTCTCTATTGAAACCCAGCATACAATTGGTTATGGTGTACGCACTACTTCAGAAGCTTGTCCCGAAGCCATTTTCATGATGTGCTTCCAATCTATTTATGGAGTCATGTCCTCCGCCTTTATGGCCGGTATTGTTTTTGCTAAAATGACTCGTGCCAAACAACGTGCCCAGACATTACTCTTCTCGAAAAATGCTGTCATCTGTCAGCGTGATGGTGCTCTTAGTCTTATGTTCCGAGTAGGTGATATGCGCAAATCACATATTATTGGTGCCAGTGTTAAGGCGCAATTGATACGTACTCGTACCACCAAGGAAGGCGAAGTGATGACTCAACATTTCACCGACTTGGAAATTGGTGCAGATGAATGTGGCTCCGATATTTTCTTTATTTGGCCCATGGTTATTGAGCATAAAATCGATGAAAACTCTCCACTCTACAACATATCCGCCACTGATCTGTTACAAGATAAATTTGAAATTGTTGTCATACTTGAGGGTACTGTTGAATCTACCGGTCAATCGACACAAGCTCGTTCTAGTTATATCAACACCGAAATTCTATGGGGTCATCGTTTTGATCCAGTTGTTGTTTACAACAAAGATCGCCAGGCCTATGAGATTGATTATGCTCGTTTCAATGAAACAACACAGGTCGATACTCCCCTGTGTAGTGCTCGGGATTTAAATGAAATCTATAAGATACAGGAGGGTTTCACAACACCCGGTAAGTGTTTGTTTTAGTTAAGATTGTAGGGGTGTATTGGCTTTGTAAGTGGTATGGTAATCATTTGATCATGTAACTCATTGACATTATTTTTAGTGGATCATGTACTAAAATTATTGGATTTTATAAATTTGTCTCATTCATCATCATTCAGCTTAAGTGCTAGTTGTGGGGGTTATAACAGGGTCTGAAGGTTTATACACATAGGTAAGATTTTATGTTGATTTTTACCACCTTTTTTTAGAGCTTTTTAAAGAGAGTTTAATTTGCTTTTTAAAGAGAGTTTAATTTTCGAAATATTCTTTAATAAATTGTTGTTTTAAGTTCTATGGTAAAGTTTTCGTTAGATAAAATTGTGTACGGATCTTTTTTCTTTAAGAACCCTTTTCAAAAAAAGTTTTCTTTGAAAAAGATCCCTACAAAAACTTTTTTAGAGAAGTTTATTTAGATTTTCTCTAAAAAAGTTTCACTTGAAAAGCTTTTTTAAGCTAAACGTTTCTATAAAAGCATGCTGTATAAATATCTTTTTATAAAGAATTTTCTTTAAAAATTATTCTCTAGAGAACGACTTTTTTAAATTCCAGGAAAATCTTTTAAGAAAGTTTATATTAGAAAAGCTTTTTAAGGAGAGTTCTTTAAGAAAAAGTTAAAAAAAATCTCTATTAAGCTCTCGTAATAAAATTTTGTCTTTATATTTTTCTTTAATGAAGCTTATCTTGGAAAAGTTTTCTTTAAAAAAGTTTCTCTAGAAAAAATGTTTTATTAGAAATGTTCTTCTCTTTAGAAAACTTTATCTAGAGGGAGCTTTCTTTATGAAAGGTTTCATTAAAATTTTTAATAGTTTATTTAGCCAAGTACAGTTTTCCTTAGAAAGCTCTAAGGACAGGGTTTTCTTTATAAAAGTTTCTTTAGAGAAAGTGTTTTCTTTTGAAAAGTTTATTTGGTGAAAATTTTCTTTAGAAAAGTTCTCTTTATAGAGTGTTTTCTATAGAAAAGTTTCTCTAAAGATATATAAAAGTTTTTCTAGAGAATGTTTTATTTAGAAATCTTTCTATGAAAAAAGTTTCTTTGCAAAGAGTATTTCTTAGTAAAGCTTCTCTAAGCTTTCAAAAAGTTTCTCCGGATAGAGTTTTTCTTGAAATAGTTTCTCTAGTAAAGCTTCCTTTAGGAAATTGTATTTTTTTATTTAAGGGAGCTTATTTTGGAAACTTTAAAAAATGTCCCTAGAAAAGCTTTTCTAGAGAGAGTTTTCTTTAGAAAATTATTTGTGGAGAGTGTTTTCTGTAGGATAGTTTCTTCAGAAAAGTGTTTTTCTTTGAAAAAGTTTCTCTAGAGAGAATTTTCTCCAGTAACGTTTGTCCGGCGACAGATTATCTATAAAGTGTTGTTTTTAATGAAAATTTCCCTGGAGAGAATTTAGAAAAGTGTCTTTAGAGAAAGTTCTCTTTAAAAATGTTTGTCTAGAAAGAATTTTCATAAGAAAAATTTGTTAAAGATATTTATTTCTTCTAGATAGAGTATTCTTTAGAAAAGCTCCTCTAGAAACAGTTTGTTTTAGGAATAGTTTCCTTTATAAAAGTACCTCTAAAGAGTTTTCTCTAGAAAGCTTTATTAAAAAAATATTTTCTAAAGTAAGTTTAGCTAAAGAGAGTTTTGTTAAGTAAAGAGAGAGGAAGTGTTTAATATAGAAATGTTTCGTCAGTGTTTTCTTTAAAAAAAGTTTCTCTGGATAGAGTTTCTATGGAGAGAGTTTTTTTTTTTAGAAAGATTCTCTAATGAGAGTTTCTTTAGAAAACAGAAATAAGGAAAGCTTTCATTAGAAAATATTTTTAAAGTGAGTTTCCCTAGAGAGAGTATTGTTAAGTAAAGCGAGGGAAAGTGTTTTCTATAGAAAAAAAAAAACATTTTTTTAATGAAAATGTTTTCTAAAGCAGTTTTCCATAGAGAGACAAAAAGTCTTTTCTATAGAAAATAAAATCTTTTAAAAGAATTTTCTGTAAAAGAGTTTCTGTAGAAAAGTTCCTCTAGAAACAGTTGGTTTTAGGAACTGTTTCCGTTTCCGTTACTCTAGAGAGGTTTCTTCTGAAAGATTTACGAAAGAGAGTTTCTTTAGCAAATAGAAAGCTTTCTTTAGAAAATAGTTTTTAAATTGAGTTCGCCTAGAGATTTGTTTTTTTTAAGTAAAGAGAGAGAAAGTGTTTTTATAGAAATGTTTCGTGCGTTTTCTTTAAAAAGTTTCTCAAGAGACTCTAAAAAGACTCTCTAATGAGTGTTTCTTTATAAAACAGAAATAAAGAAAACCTTCTTTAGAAAGTATTTTCTAAAGTGGTTCTCCCTAGAGAGAGTTTTATTAAGTGAAGAGTATTTGTAGAGAGTTTTCTATACAAAAGTTTCATCAGTGCTTTCTTTAAAAAAAAAATGAGGAAGCTTTTAATTAGAAATTTCTCTCAAGAAAGAGCTTTGTTTAGAGATTTGTTTTTTTGGATAGAATTATAATTTAGAACATTTTCTATAGAGAGAGTTTTGAGTTTTCTGTAGAAAAGTTTCATGAGTGTTTTCTTTAAAAAAATAGAGGGAGCTTTTCACTAGAAATTTTTCTTAACAAAGAGCTTTCTTTTAGAGATTTGTTTTTTAGGTCGAATTTTTATTTTAAAAATTCTCTGTTGATTGAGTTTTTTTTTCTAGAAACGTTCTGTTAAGAGAGTTTTCTATTCATAAGAGTTTTATTGTCGTGTTCCGTGGAAAGGTCTACTTTCTTTTAACAACATTTTATCATAGGTTCGTTCAACAAACAATTTATTTTTTATAATTGATGGATTATTTTACACGTGTCTGTCTGATTTATAGTTTTGTTTGGGTTTCATGAAATAGTTTTATAAATGTTAACAGGCCCAACTAAAATACTGTTCTTTTATCAAAAACTTTGATTGACAGGGAGAAAATTATTTTGACATCTTTCTACACAATAGTCTGGCAAAGTCATTAAAACCGATATTAACTAATTTGATTTAAAATTGTATAGATTTTGTTTAAAACCATCGAAAACAAACTCATAAATCTCATGATTTCATTCATTAATTTATGCATTGAAACCGTAATAAATTTACAGGTCTCCAAAATTAATAATACCACCTAGTCAAATATTTATTCGTAACGTAACAAAAAAAAAAAAATCATAATAAAATTTAACAACTTAATTTTTAACAAGTGTTTTTATTATTATTTTATCTCTTTTTATTTAGTTTTTTGTTTGTCCATTTATTTTTTACATTCACACACAAATTGTATAGTAGTAATAACTCATATTAATATGGTTTCTTTTGTTGTATATTTTTATAACAATGTTATTATTATTATTTTTTTGTTAACTTGTATGTAAATACATATTTTTTGGTGTGTATTTTTTGTTTAACATTTTTTATATGATTTTTTTTATGTTTATTTTAACAGAAACCACATTTACCATGCGTCAAATGTCCCTCGTCCCTCCATCTGAACAGGCATCATAAAAAAAAATGAAACTAAAACCAAAAAATTTGCTATAAAAAAAAACACAAATTCAAACAAAAGACATTTTTATATCAACGAAATCATTCAAACTAATTCAAAATCCATTTAAAATAACGAACAAAAAAACCCCAAAATTGGTTAAACTAAATTTAATTTACAAATAAATCAGAAAACTAAATAAATAAAAGGAAATCATGTTATGAATAAACAAGAAAAAAAATAAAAAAAATCATAATAATTTTAATTCAGAAAAAAAAACTATATTTATGATCATGTTGTTTTATTATTTTTATTTTTGTTGTTGTAGACAATAGTATTCATATGTTTTAAGTATTTTAGTAGACAATCATATGTATTGTACTCGTATGTGTTTTATTTAAAAATAATAATATTATTAATAATAAACAAAAAAATTGTTATGTTTACAGTTGAAAAAAATAAATAATATATATTTACATACATTTATTTTAACTTACATAATTATATGTATTTGTGGTGTTTTTTATTATTATTTTTATTTAACATAAATATCAATTAAGTAAACATTCTTTTAATATTGGTTATGAGAAAAAGTTATTTCATATGTGGGGTAAGTTTAAAATATCAAGTAACAGTGTTAAATTAAACAATGGCAAATCTTTTTTAGTATAAGAATCTTTTATATATATAAATTTTTGAATTGAAAAATATGTATTTAGTTTATTATATCCTACACCACTATAGTGGGGAGGGTATTATGCGTTTGTGCTGATGTTTGTAACACCCAAAATTATTGGTCCTACACCTACCTTAAAGTATACCAATTGGGCCAGAATCACTTTCTGAGTCGATTAAGTTATGTCCGTACGTCCGTCTGTCTGTCTGTCCGTTAGTCTGTCTGTCCGTCCGTCCGTCTGTGTGTCCATGTAGACCTTGTGCGCACTTTGCAATCTTCGCAATTTTCAAGATAATTTGCTGAAAATTGGCAAATACTCTTCTTTTGATCCAAGGACGAAGTCTATTGAAAATGATTAAAATCGGTCCATTATTTCGTATAGCCCCCATACAACCGTACCCCCCCCCCCCCCCCAAATGGTGCTTTTGAGCTCATAAACATGTTAAATGTTCTTGTATCACTTCAAAAATCGGTAGAACTTAGTTTTATATAAGTCTAAATGATTTGACCCTATTCCCCAAACAAAGTCCCCTTCAGGTAATGACTTGATGGTGAAAATTTACTTATAAACACTAAAATCACGATGATATTCCTCATAAATAACTGATGAAGACGTAAATCTCTCTACCAAAATTTATAGGGAGAGGACCATATTAACCTCCTGCCCCCATATAACCACTCTTTTAGAAAACCAAAATTTGGAACAAAATCACTGGAGTAGTGTATCATAAGGCCGGCCATGGGCGACTTTAAATTCTTACTTGTTTTTTTTTCTGAAATATTTGAATATAGATTTTGTCCTTCTTTTTTAACACGTCGAAATATTGTTCGTAGACCGACAACAGTATATATGTTCTGGGTCCTTATCAAATTCTAAGACGATCTAGCCATGTCCGTCTGTCTGTTTGTTGACAGTACGATAGGGTACGAACAGTAAAAACTAGAGGTTTGTTTGGTATTAAAAAAGGGCAATAAGTGTTGAAGCGTTCATATAGACCCCATACAAATCGACCCCTAGCATACATTCACAATACAGTCAAAAATATCCAGAAATTATTCTGAATAGTATGGTTAAAAAGGGTTAATTATGAAACAGTAATAACTTGTTTTAAATTCGGCTGAGCTCTACATATTCTGAATATCACCCTAATGTTTTTATTACTATTGATGTACAATAATAGAATTCAGCATAAATCTAATATAAATATGAATAAGTAAATTGTGCTAGAAAACAAACAAACAATGATCGGGCCTCACTTGACCTTAAACTTCATACAAAGTTCCCTTCAGAAAATGAGTTATCCCGATGACATTCAGGATAAATATATTTTATCTTAACATAGATCCATCTATCAGATTTAATGGGAATTGGTCCACATTTTCCCCTAGTCTCGATATAAAGCCTTTTCAGAAAATCAGTATAACATCAATAAATTGTTTAAATATATCGGAGGCATTTAACTTAAATGCTTTATTATGAAAAATAAATCACATTCTATTCTCTTAACTGGTGCAGGGTATTATATGGTCGGCCATGTCCGACTATAATTTCTTATACGTTAGTTTCATTGAGTTAATTTTTATCAGATATATGTATGACTTTGAATATTTATTTCATATGGAAGGTGTTACGGCTTCTATTTTTACATTTTTATACCCATAAAAGTCTATTCATTCTGGGTTCTAAGGCCCATATTCTCTGTGTGTAGAAAAAAGTTTATAATTAGGTGCGGGGTTAAAAAAAAATATATATGTAAGTCAATATTAAACTACTTACTTATTACTTCATTAATAAAATTAAACTTGTATTTATGAGGACTAGGAAACTATAACCTATCCGATTATAACAAATTATGATTGTTTTGCTCTCTGAACAAAAAAAAAAAGTCATGAATTATGTTTATATAAAACTTATTTGTGCCAAATTTCATGGTGATACTAGTGTTTATAAGTTAGTTGTGGTCACTCAAGTCATTTTCAGAAGAGGACTTTGTATAGGAGCTACTGTCAAATGAGGCCCGATCATTACGAAAATCGACATTGTTTTTTATAATGATATCAAACTTAATTATACTGATTTTTGGAAAGATAGTAGTATATTTGACGTAGTTATGAGGCCCAAATCGGTAGGCCCGATCTTTATAAAATTTAATTTCGGAATTTATGTTTATATAAAATTTATTTGTGCAAATAAGTCTCTGGAGGTGATTCTGAGCCGATTAGTATACTTAAAGGTGGTTGTAGAACCAATATTTTTGGGTGTTACAAGAATTGTTATCCTGACATGCTAACCTAATGAAATACATAATTTCTTCTCATAGAATATATATTGTGATCACATCTAATAGCCTTTATATTTTTCTATTACAGACATTTGCAAAGAATTTCCTTATGAATCGGGAAAAGAAAACACCAACTCCTTACGCTCCTATGCGCCAATGAGTCAAACGAAAAAACGTGCTGTTATGTACACTTGGCAATTTTCTACAGAATCTTAATACATAAGCAGATACTAATTTTAAGCTTTTAAAATAACATAAATTTTATTTAAACATAATTTTACTTTTATCCTTTGCATGATTTTTTTCCAGTTTCATCACATGTTTTAAGAGAATTAAAATCATACATCCAGCTGTGAATTGTGTTTCGTGGTTACATTATCAGTTAATTACCAAATATTTTTGTCGCGTTTTTTCTTTACTTCTGTCATAATTAATATGACAATATTAATAATGTTCAATAAAATTCCATATAACATTAACTGCGAACATACTTTAGACAGAAAATGAGTGTATAAATTCGTGGTATTTTTTTCTTTTTTTGGTTTGTACTTTGTCTCCTGTATTTTAGTAGAACTCATAAGTCTTGTATTTTTCTTGATTTTGTTTCATTTATGAGTATATCTTATTACAGGCACTTAACGGTCTGACAGACAGTAAGTATTTCACTGATACTGATAAGTGAAACCATACATTATGTAGGTTAAGGACATTAATTTGACCAATAAAGTAAGAAAATGTATGGCAAAAAAGAATGATATACAAATATATTTTGGGTATTAATATGTAATAATATGTATGTATTACTGTAGTATAGGGTTTTTTATAGAGGGAATTCTTGGTATAAATTTGTTGCTTTAAAATATGTTTATGTCAAGACAGACAGATAGGCAGGCAGACAGACAGACAGACAGACAGACAGACAGACAGACAGACAGACAGACAGACAGACAGACAGACAGACAGACAGACAGACAGACAGACAGACAGACAGACATATGTACATATATATATATATACAGACAGACAGTCTATAGTATATATACAGACGGACAGATGGAAAGACAGAGACAGATCAACATGACTGTCCTTTTATGAGCGACCGTTTGGACTGTACTAAAGTAAGTACTGTTTCAGCGTAAATTTCTGCACTATATGGGTTAATTTAGAAGTGCTTTACGTGAACACCTGCTTTGGACCTTTTTAACCACTGGATGAGCTTTTGTGACGATCACCGCAGTCCCATTGTGCTTCTTACATATACAATTAACACCAACTCATTTTCAACGCTTAGTCCCACATTCACTCCTCTGTGGGGTATCTGTTGTCATTCGGCAACAGCACCGAACTTATCCCGAAATATGTATTTCACCGTGCATCCGTCTTTTAACCGCAACTTGGTCTTCCCGCGAATTTGGGTTTAAACCACAGACACTACGTGGATCCAGAAAAAACCTCAACCAACTGACCAGCCAGGACAAGTCCTGCGGGCAACTGACCACCCCTAGTTCCAGATTGTGTGGTTCTCTGGTTAGACCCCATGTCAAATCATTCAAGGACTAGCCAAGGAGTGAAATGTCATCACCAGTTTATAGTCCCGGCAGACTAGTGGTACTGGTAGCACCTCTTTACCCCAGGATTGCAATACACCAAGATGAGGGTCTTTCATCAAGGAAACATGCCTCGGGGATGGGAACCCTATATGGGTATCAGATCAACCTGGGATAAGCAATGTAAGAGCTTATAAAAAAGCTTGAAGAAGTTAAAGTGACGAATATAAGCCCGACTGCCTCCAATTGTAGATCTGAACATATTTCCCCTTAGAAGGGTGGGCAAAAGCACAAAAATCCAATGGGGTGGTTCCAACCAGGGCAATACTAGACACAAAGTCTGATAGTACTTTTTCCTCGATTTTTGGGTGTTCCGTAACTGGATCAGCTACATGCTAAAGAACAGATGGATAAGCTGCGAAACGTATGATATAACTATCAGGAAAAGGGTATTTCGAGGACACAGCAGTGTGGCATTTTGTTCCCTCTACTCTGGGTAACCACGATTCATAGCCTCTTATGAACCCCAACCGAGAAAGGACTCAGACCTGTCTGCTATGCTGACGATGTCGTAATACTTCTAAGGGGAAAGCATCCAAATTATTACACATTGGCTTTCTGAAACTGTATTTAGTTTGTTAGATCGTTAGTTTGAAAGGAGGATGTATATACAAATCGGAAGAAATAAACCTAGGCCTCTATAGGGCATGTTGTGCGCTCCTTAACCAGGTGGGAATCGAACCCACCACCTCTGGTCTACCAGACTAATCACTAATCTACCGGAGGCCAGCGTGTAATTAGACCAATTGTAACTTATGCTTTAATAATCTAGTCGGAAACAGAGTCAGAAAAGGAAATTAACTACCATCTACTTAATCACAAGATTAGCTTCTAGTCAAAAGTTCGAACAATAAAGGATTGCGTAAATTGGATTAACGGTAATTAGGGCGATATTAGGTGAAGAGATTAAACCTAAGATTTGGTTTTTTTAGAAAGCTTTTAAGGAATACTCTCTTAGAGTTAAGCTTTGCATCATAGGGGGAGCAGACAACTGGGGAGCAATCAGTAACGAAAGTGTTAAATTACATGCTTTAAAGGAAAGGGAGCTAAAGATAGTTAACCTGATCAACACAAGGGCGACAGTAACGAGAACAGGAAGAAGACTGAAGTACATATAGATGTGGACAACTATACATACTTGGACGTTTAGATTCAGAAGAACGTAGGCCATTTGGAAAGTATAGTGAAACTTTGAAGCCTGACAATGACAAGCTTTCTCCGAAATTAGATCAAAATATCTTGATTGGAAAGTTTTTAGGAATTACGTCCAGGAAACTTAGTTCCTTAAATTCGGACAAGTTAGTTCACCAAAGGGTCGTTCCTAGACTTAACCCTTGCGCAAAAAGATATTCACACTCCCCTAACGACCCTATCAAAATTGATAGATGAATGGGCTTTGAGTGAGACGGAACTCAGGTGGTCACATAGCCCCACTTGTAGAATATCGAGACTGCTCTGGCAAACTCTGACAACAGATAGGACTAGGACTCTCTTGTCTCTTAGTAAGAACTCGATTAGGCTTCTAACTGGTATAATTACTGGGCACTGTATGATTGGACATATGTCGGAACGTATGCGCTACCCAAATTATAGTTACTGTAGAAGTTGCTTGTACGAAGAAGAAGTGGAATCGGTATGACACCTTCTATGTGACTGCCCAGTCTTACAAGAGCACATACTACTTTATCTTGGTAGAGCTCTTTTCCATGATCTAGACTGTCTCAGAGATGCGTCACTAATAAACATGATCGGTTTTATTAATAGCACCGGCTGGTTTACACGGAGACCAAAGGAATCAAGTACTCAACGAAATTAGGGAGGGAATCCATTTTCTCAATATTAGGGAAGGGTATCACAATGGGCCACGAGGCCTCCGAGTGAACTCGCTTGCTAGTGAGCACCCACGTAACGTACTTACCTACCTAGTTCATCATCATTGAGTAATATATAGTAGTGTGGCCTATGTTAACCTGACCTAGGTATAGCTTATGAAGTTAGTAAATTATAGTTTTGGTATCGGCAATTTCCAGAAATACTTTAAAATCTAGTTCCCGTGTGGCAAATTATTAAGAATTTAAAACCCCTACTAAAATGCTGCAAATATACAAGAAAGGAAAACTAATGAAATAAACTCTTTTAAGACAAACCAAATTTTCGGTTATGAGTGCTTGAGCAGGAAAAATTTTAATTTAATTAAAATTGGGAGGAGACAGTGTTATGAACAAGATAAGAAACAAAAATACAATTAAAAATTTTAGAATAGTTTTCAAGGTTTACTCACTAAGTGTCTTTCATCATAGAAAATTGTATTTAAGTTTATAATTAAATATTTTAAATTATTAGTTAAACATAGATTTTAGATGTTTTGATGGACTGGTGGTCAAAAATATTTGTCACACTTTGAGTTGTAGGAGCAAAATAGCATTCATATGTAAACACCCACCATAACTAAAATATTAGTTTTGTTAAACCATAAATATAACTTTTTTTAAAAAAAAAATAAGTGTTATTTTTTAAGCGATTTTTTTTCGGCTAAATAGTGGGCTGTTTTTTCACCATTAGAGGTGTATTGAATACTTATATTTATAAGTTGGTTTGCTCGTTTAACTACAGTTGTGTGTGTGTTTTTTTTTTTTGACTGTTAATAATTTTAACAAAATATTATTTATAATGATTGTTTTTGAAAAGCAATTAATAAAGTACATTTTTAGTTGGATTTTTGGTTATTAAACAGTCTTTTAGTGTTAGGAAAATTCATAAATTTGAAGTTTAAAAGGTGTGTTGAAAATTTACGGTACTTATTTTTATTTTTTGTAAAATCATGCTAATGGATCATAAATGTTATTAGAATAACCACTTAACACACTCATACCACTCAACAAATGCACCAGCACTGTTTGGCTTTGCTACAAAACAAAAGACTTAAGCAACAAACTGCTATTTTATGTGTTTATTTTGTTAATAAATATATCAATTGGTGGTGATTTTGTTTGAAAATAAAATTTCAATTTATTTTTATTTTTAATGCCAAATTTATTTTGCTTTAGTTTCTTATTTTTCTTTTAATTTATTTGGTGGCTTATTTGTAGTTAATTTTGTGTGTTTAAAAGAATTTATTTTTATCATTTTGTATTTGATCTTTGAGTCCTTGATCTGTTTTTTCTTTTTATTCTAATTTTTCGATTAGTTTTCTACAGAGTTAGAGTTCGTTTTTCATATTTATTCTACACATAATTTAGTTATTTAATATTGTTAATTTGTTAGTAAGTTAAAGTGATTGCGATTTGTATGATTTAATGCATGCAAACTGAAAGAAAAAATATTTAAATATTTTGTATAAAGCATTAAAGACACCCTACGAATGGCTCACAATAAATTATTTCAGTCCTTAAAGAGAAAACTTTTTCTTAAAAATAAAATTTAATTTAAAGTTTATTTAATGTTTTTTAATAATTCATTTAAAAAGTGTTAATAGTTTCTTCATTAAAATTACAAAAATTATCTAGATCACACAAATCCCATTATGACTTATTCATCAGTAGAGTTTATTCTATATTAATTATTTCTAATACAACAATAGGGTATACTTTATTTATCCCACATACTATACATTTTCCCTACTTAGTTATAGAAATATTTTATAATTTTTCAATTTTTAAAATATATTTTTTTTCAATTCATACTATAGATTTGTAACAGCACGTTTTGTAATAATTTAAAAACCTATTTACAAAAAAAAGTGCTCAACTACTTAAACCATAAACTGTTTTTTGCTGCTCCATGAGGCAGCAACAGCACATGACACACGGCGATTATGTAGGTTTTTGTGTTGTTGCTGTAACTATATAGTTTTATACGTATAATCTATAATACATTTTCCTAGT